GTTGGGGGGGGTAGGACAACTCCTTTTCTGATTTCAGAGAATTTCACTCTCCCCTTCCCAACTTAGAAAGTCATTCATCCCATTTCATCCAATTAGAAATCAGATTACCTAATGTATTGTTTCCTTTTAATTAATTGGTCTTATTTGGTTAATTTTTTTTTGGTTAATTGTTCTTAACATATAAAAGTCTGTCTCCCTCTGTATTCGGGGTCCAGCCCTAAGCTGAGTAAGGGGCCTGGTCCCAATTTGTTAGACAGTTGGCATGCATTGCCTAATAAATCAGAAGCTTGAACCTTTGTTTCCTCAGTTATTTCATCTTTTACCTGCCACAGTGACCCGGGGTAGATCATGTAACTTCTCTCAGACTCAATTTCTTTACCAGTGAAAATGAGATAATTGTAGCATTTGCTTCAAGGCTATGATGAGGCCACTAAAAGACTGAATGTTTGTGGGGAGTGTGTCCAATACTTCCTTTCCCCAACCTGTCTTATAAACCTTTCTGAACTGACAGATATTTGGTGCAGCAAGGAGAAAGTTATGGAGGAAAGAAATGAAAGAAGAGGCAAGATGACTGTGGATTATGGCCTCCCATGACTTAACAGCTAGTTACCCTCATTAATTAGTTCCTGGAATCCAGAGGGGCTGGAAAGGATAACAGTTTTGGCATTAGAGCATTGAGAAGAGGAGACATTTATGGAACTTGGGGAAGAGAGCACTAGAAAGGGAAGAACAAATTCAGGGACAGCTAGAAGACCTGACAGAGATCAAGGAACATTAGCTGTATTTCATCTTTGCTCTACGGAGTATCTAAGATACCTTCTTTGTCCCAAGGAAATGAATATTTTAGGAGACTTTTTAAAAAATAGTTATATATTAAATATTTCTAATTGGTTGGCTATCTGAACATGTATTTGTGATTTGTGTAACTAAATTTGTGTCTTAGTATGTTAATATGATCAAGTAAGTTTACATGTTTACCAAATTGACAAACCTAAGATAATTTAAGAAGTTAAATAGAGTTTATCAGTCTCTAACTGTGACTCACTCTGAGGAAACTTTCCATAAGAGAAGAAATGGAGACTTTTTCATAGTCTGGAAGAGAAAAGAAAAAAGAATTGTAACAAAAAGTTGACTAGGGGTTTATTAATCATTCCAATTCAGATACATGTGACCCTTCAGAACTTTACCATTACCCAGGGGTCTTAGAGGGACTCTAACTAGACAGAGGGTTGGGGTATGCTTCCAATATGTTTGGATGACCTCAAAAAAAGATGGAAATGTGGGCAAGAAAAAGGCACAGAGAGAGAAAGAATAGGGAAAATTATTTCACATAAATGGGGTATGCGAGGAAGAGTTTAAAAAATGATCAGGAAGCATTTCCCACCTTTGCCATCCCTGAAAATTCACACCATGATACATATCCAAACTTCCCTGTTTTATGTCAAAGGTACCACCATCCTTCCAGGCATCGATGTTCACCACCTCAGTGTCATCCTTGACTCCTTTCACTTACCCCACATGTGCAGTCAGTTGCCAGATCATGTCATTGCCACCTCCCCATCAGCTCACATCTGTCCCCTTTTGCCAACTCGCACAAATACCACTTTAGTTCAGACCCTCATCACTTCACCTGGACTATTGTCATAGCTTCCTATCCCAACCAGTCTCCCTGACACTAATCTGTCCTACATGTAAAGAAGAATTTGAATTGAATTTTCATGTCCTTTAGTATAGAGAAAATTGTCAGGCTCAGAAAAAAGGCTTCTGAGCAGCAAGGGCAGGCTCTGTGGTATGGGGAGGGGGGGACAGTGGTGGGAGTAGTGGAGGAAAACATGAAAACCTGTGAATATGTGTGTGTCTCTATGAGCTTTCAGCATTGTCTCCAAATTTCAGAATATGGACAGTTCCTAACCTGGATTTCTAGTCAGAACAAGGCAATATTGAAAGTATATTTCTCTTCCAAGAATGTGTCTGCTGTGGTTGATCTAAGAGACAAAATCATTCAGTACTCTCTCTCTCAAACACACACACACACACACACACACACACACACACACACACACACACCTCTGTGGTGAATATTATCTAATAAGAAATCAGCATTTATTAAGTGCTGAGGTACCATGCTACATACTGGAAATACTAAGACAAAAATTAAAGTCCTTGACCTCAAGGAGATTACATTTTATTGGGGACAGACAACGTGCACACATATGTGTACATATACACGTAAATACATGTGTATACATGTGCACACGTGTACACCATGCATAATCTGCTCTGCCTGGTATGAAACCACTTGGATCCTTGGGGAACTTGCTTATGGAAGTACATCACAAGATGGAATGCAGAGGCTCTGTTCCCAATTCAGAGCTTGCCCAAGTATTCTGTGACTGTTTCCTGCCTATTTACTGGGTGCTGAAAAAAAGCCTTTTGATGGTCTACAGAAATTCTGTAAATCCCCAATGGGGATAGACAGGCTTCAGACTCTTATCTTCCCACATTGGTTGATATGAATCCATGAAAATGTGGTGCTGCAGCTTTTCTGTCTTATTTTTCTTTCTTGTTCTTAGGTAAATGAGTGTAGGAGATGGAATGGGCTAGGCCACAACCCTGTTAGCTTTGAAAGGTTTGAAGAACTACCAGAAGTCCAGTGACAGAGCCCAGGAAGAAGCCAGTCATGAGAAGCAACCTGCTTGACCATGTCCAGCACTGAATCTATCTGGAAGCTGAGATGCTTTGCCCTGAAAGCAAGGGAGCTGGTCCCCTATGGCTATTGTGCATAGAGATATAGAACATAGTGGTGGAACTTATAGAACACATACAACTTAGAGGTGGAAATATTTTTTTAACCACCACTTTAAGTTTGTGTCTGCTGTCTACAGGGACTGAGAGAATATGCAAAAGGGAGAGAGCATCCCTCACCATGCTTTGGTTCTCAATATATCTTTCCAGTAAATATCCCTTTGTAAGAATGAATGGATGTTAATTGGTCCTCAATGTACTGGTTAGATGATATTGAGGCAAAGATCATTGGCAATTTACATTAGGGAGAAAACACTAGAATGAGAAATCAAGCCAATAATATTAGAAGAATTGTGCTGAATCCCTCAAGATAGCCCTAGAACTCTGAGGAGATGAAGTTGCCCTCTAAAAATCCATTTTGCCAATGAGAGTGGGACTTGGGATAAGATAAATTGACATTGATTTAGTTAGGAGCAGGAAAGAATAAAACAAAAGACAGAAAAACAGTAGCACCACACTTATATAGCTTTAAGGTGAGGAAATAAGGGCATGTGACCTCTGTCCCCACCCAGAGGGTTTTTCTTTTCTTTCTTTTTTTTTTTTTTTTTGGTCTTCATCAACACTATGAGAGAGAGAGAGAGAGAGAGAGAGAGAGAGAGAGAGAGAGAGAGAGATCTGTCCAGTTAGTACATTTTGTTTGCCCACTCAGTTCCAGCTCAACAGCCAATTAAAAGGCTGAGAAGGAGCACAAGAAAGTCACAGAATGCTTGTGCATGCTCTCATGTGGATAGGCTCCTCATCACCCACTTCCCGGGTTCCTAGGCATTCACCCGGGTTGGCAAAATGACTATGCTTCTGGGACTGGGACCTCATTAGCCAAGCCCACCCACCCACACACACACCAGAGTAAATTTTTGAGAAGACACTAGCATCTTAGAAAGTCAAAAAAGGCTTTATGTAGGTGTTCTTGAGTTTTGAAGGAAATGAGGGATTCTAAGAGGCAGAGGTAAGGTGTGAAAAAGTAGCAAGGGGACCAGTTTGCCTAGACTGCTGAGTGTGGGAAAGAGAATGATATCTAATAAGGTTGGAAACGCAAGTTGGAATCAGTTTGTGAACAGTTTTAAAAGCTAAACAGAGTTTACATTTGACAATAGATTTTTCTCATGAACAGATTTCATCATGCCCCTTCTCTGCTCAAGATTCTCAAGTGGCCTCCTATGACCTACCACATAAACTTCAAACTCTAGGTTGGCATTTAGGCCTAGCCCCAATATTGCACCTGTTTTACTTATTCTCCTTAAAATGTAGCAGAATGCAATCCAACTACCACGTCACGGTAGCTTTGCCAATCAGAGGATTTCAGAGTTGGAAAGGGCCTCAATGGCTATCTAGTCCAAATCATACCTGCAAAAGCCCAACCACAACCTACTTACCTAATGGTCATCCAGCCTTTGCTTAAAGACCTCCAGTGACAGAGAACCTGCTCCCGATGAAATTCATTCTACTTTTGGTTCATTCTATTAGGAAGTTTTCCATTACAGAAGTCTAAATTTGCCTACTGCTCCTGATTCTGCCTCTTGGGGATAGAAACAAATGTCTAATCTCTCCTCTACATGACGGTCTTATGAATAAAAACAACGATTATGTTCCTTAGGAACCTTCTCTTCTCCAAGATAAGCATTCCTAGCTCTTTCAACCAATCCTGACGAGGATACTCTCTGGCTAACCAATGTCCTTCATGATTTGCGGTGCCAAAACTTAACACAATACTCCAGGTGTGGTATTCTAGAGCACAGTACAGAGGGGACCATCGCCTCCTTACTCCTGGAATCTATGCCTCTCAATGCAACCCAACATCCCATCAACTCTTGGCTGCTGTGTCACAGTGTTGCCTCATTCCTTTAGTGGACTGCAGTTCAGAGATGTTTCAAAGACAAACTATTAACCAGGTATACCATACCCTACACTTAATTAATTTTTTAGACTACACTAACTCCTATTTAATTTCATCTTCTTATAGTCTGCTCAATATTCTAACCTAATTCTAATTAAAATATTTTTCAATTCCATGTATCATCTTGTATGTTAGCTACCCTTCACAGCTTTGAATGCCATTAATGTATATTACAAAAATGAGGGCCATATAAAACAGCCACTTCTCTTTCTCAAAGCAATAAGCAGTAATGTAGCTGAAGAAAAATCTAATAACTCAATTCCTGTATATTTAATATATGATAAAATTTTATTAAGCTCTCTCTCTCTACACAATCTCCAGCATCAAGTCTCTGATGAGTGATGAGGCATTCATTACATTTATGGAAATTCTCACCAATGTAAATTATCTTAAGTCTTCTTAGGTATTCCCTCTAGCTGAATACTTTCCCAAACACATTATATTCAAAGGGTTTCTCAATGGTATGAATTTTCTTATGAGCAGCAAAGGTCTGCCTCAGCCTAAAAGCTTTCCCACATTCATTACATTCAAAAGGTTTCTCTCCAGTATGAGTTTTCTTGTGGGTATTAAGGTTTCCTTTTTGGCTGAATGCTTTCCCACATTCATTGCATTCAAAAGGTTTCTCTCCAGTATGAATTCTCTTATGTGCATTAAGGCTTCCCTTACGGCTGAAGGCCTTCCCACATTGATTACATTTATAGGGTTTCTCTCCAGTATGCATTCTCTGATGTTGCAAGAGGTATGAACTATGCCTGAAGCTTTTCCCACATTCATTACATTCAAAGTGCTTCTCTTTAGTATGAATTTTCTTATGTATATTAAGGTAAGTACTGTTGATGAAGGTTTTCTCACATTCACTGCATGACCAAGGCTTTTCTCCAGTATGAATTATCATATGTACCTTAAGACTTCTATTCTGGCTAAAGGCTTTTCCACATTCATTACATTTATAGGGCTTCTCTCCAGTATGAATTCTCTTATGTACATTAAAGCTTCCTTTCTGGCTGAAGGCTTTCCCGCAATCACTACATTTATAGGGTTTCTCTCTCGTATGAATTCTTTGATGTTGGCTTAGATATTGATTACTACTGAAGGATTTGCCACATTCATTACACTCAAATGGTTTCTCTCCAGTATGAATTATCTTGTGTATATTAAGGTGAAAATTGTTACTGAAGGTTTTTCCACATTCATTACAAGAACAGAGCTTTTCTCCACTATGAATTATCTTATGTGCATCAAGACTTCTCTTCTGGCTGAAGGCTTTCCCACAGTCATTGCATTTATATGGTTTCTCTCCAGTATGAATCCTCTTGTGCACATTAAGGCTTCCTTTCTGGCTGAAGGTTTTCCCACATTCATTACATTTATAGGGCTTCTCTCCAGTATGAATTCTTTGATGTTGAGTTAGGTATTCATTACTGCTGAAAGCTTTCCCACATTCATTACATTCAAATGGTTTCTTTCCAGCATGAATTAGCTTATGTCTTTTAAGGTTTCCCTTCTGGCTGAAGGCTTTCCCACACTCATTGCATATATAAGGTCTCTCTCCAGTATGAATTCTTTGATGTACAGTAAGGCATGAGTTAATGCTAAAGGCTTTGCCACATTCATTACATTTATGGGATTTGCCTCGAGTATGTCTTCTATAGTAATGAATAAGATTTGAATGGTAACTAAATGACTTTCTGCATTTATTATACTTACAAAGTTTCTTCCCTAAAGTTATATTGTGTTTAATTGGATCTAAAAATGGCTTGAAGCTCTTTCCAAGTGGATCATATTTGTGAAGACATTTTCCTAAAGGAACTCTCTCTGGAAGAACGAGGATTGCTCCAAATGTATTATATGCTTGAGCATTCAGCTCATTAAAAGTTTTTTTGTTTGGGATTGTCACTTGTCTGGACTCTTTCCCTTGACAACTTTTCTCTCTCTCTAATCTGATCTGACAATCCCAAGGTTTTCCCAACTTAGAATTCCATGCACCATCCTTGGTGAATTTCTCCTTAGGTGACTTTTCTATAGAAACAAGCTGTTCTGGAATTGACTCCTTGGTTTCATACCTTGTCTGCAAAACAAGAGAATCTGGAAAAAAAAAAGTATAAATATCCATTATTTTCTGTGCTAGGAAAGAGGAAACTTGTATACTAAGTTCTAGATTCTGTCTTCTCAATAAAAAAGAATGAAGAATTGTCTTACTACTAAAGTCAAGTGACTGCTATTATCTCCCTACAGGAAGAAGAGAAAGGAGTTTGAGGAATATCTATCCATTCTATAAGGTAGCAGGGTGAATGAAATTAACACTTAAAAAAGGGATCTTGGAAGTAAAAACAATAAAGAAAAAAGATCTGAAGAGACCTTGACCTAAGTCCAAAGGTTAGAGAAGAGAAGAATGTGAGCAAAGAGAACAAGGAAAGGATCACTGAACAATTGACGCTAAATTATGGCTCCATAAAAGCAACAATTAGAGTTAGCATGGCTTCATCAAGAGTAGAGAATCCTATGAGACTAAACTCATTTCCTTTTTTTGACAGCATTTGATATAGTCTCTAATGTTATACTAATAGATAAGACAGAGATAAAGTCTAGGAAGTGGATTCAGAACCAGTTAATTAGCAGATCCAAAGAGAAGTAATTAACATTTATGTCAACTTGGAGCAGAGACTTTAAGAAGAATTACCTATTTAAAATCTTTATCAATGGCTTGGAGGCAAACACAGAAAGCATTTTCCCATATTTACATATAAGATAAATCTGAAAGGTATGCCTTTATATGGGATGATCATATGAAATGACAGTGTTTTTATCTAAAAATATCTCAACAGGCTAGAACATTAGACTTCATCTAGTAAGATTTTTTTTTTTAGGCAATTGGGGTTAAGTGACGTGCCCAGGGTCACACAGCTAATAAGTGTCAAGTGTTTGGTCTGAAGCTAGATTTTAACTCAGGTGCTCCTCACTTCAGGGCTGGTGCTCTATCCACTATGCCACCTAGCTGCCCTCTTAGTAAGATATTTATTAAGTGACAAATATAAAGTCCCTTAGTTTTAAAAAAAATTCACAATAAGAGAGTGGAAGCTGTGACTCCCTAAAAGAAGTGCACTGGAAAAAAAAAAAAACGAAGAAGAAGAAGGAGGTGGGGGGAGAGATAGTGAACTACAAGCTCAAGTCAACTAGAGAGTGTCAATTTATGCTGCACTGAAAGGCTTAGCATTTAAAACAAGTGAAGTAAGAGTCCCATTATCCCATTACAATGGCCTGGTAAGACCATCTTTGGAATGTTGTACTCGGTTCTGGACACAACATCTCAGGAAGGACTTTGATATGCTGGACAGTGTACAGAGTAGGCCTCCAAGATGGTGAAGGGACTCCAGAGCATGTGGGAAGAGTTAAAATGAAGTAACAGGATATTTAACCTAATGAAGAGAAGACACAAGCTGTCTTCAATATTTTAAGGGCTGTTAGGTGGAAAAGACGTTAGCACTAGACTGTTGTCTTCTGCCTTCTGAAAGGTTGTAGTACAATACACCTTTTATCACACTGAAAAAGTGTGAGACACTTTTTTCACACATTGAAAGCTGAAAAGAGAATGAGCTAACCAGTGAGTAAAGGGAAGAAAAGTTGTCATGTTGCTACTTTGGGAGCAAAGTCAGAAGGAACTTTGAAAGCTATGAAATCAGGCAATACTTGAGGAGGCATTGAAGAGGAACAGAATTCATCCAGAGTATAATTGGGAGGACTAGAAACAATGGGGATAAGGAAAAATGTCAGAAGGTAAGAAGGGATTGTAGAGACATTAAGCCTTCATTATTTCACATGGGAAGAGGCGGGAATGGCCTGAACTAGGGTGGCAGTCATGTGACTAGAGGAAAAGGGATAGATTTAAGAGACATTATGGAAATAGAATAAACAATGCTTGGCAACTGGTGAAATGTTCATGGGAAAAGTAAGAAAGAGTCCTTGACATAAACAGAAATATTTAGAGGAAGGGGAAAACACTAAGTTACAATTTGGACATGATTAATTTGAGAAACTAATGGGATATCTCAGTAGGATATGAAGTAGGCAGTTTGTGGTGGTGGATTAGAGTTCAGGAGAGATATTAGTGCTAGATATATGGATTAGGAATAATCTGTAAATATGGGGAAATTGAATCAAGGAGAAATAACTAAGGAAGAGAGTATAGAGTAAGAGAAGAGAAGAAGGGAGAGTTAAAGCCTCTAGAATGGATGAACTGTCTAAAGCACACAGAATAGCAGAGACATGAAGAGAGAGCTCTGAAGTGACACCTAGAATTGGCGAGAGTGATCTTGAGAGATGAAGGAAAAAAGTAATCAGGGATAACACCATTAGAGAGGAAAGATAACCAAGATAGTGGAGCATCAAGAGAGACCACAGAACATCAAAAAATCTCCCTTAGGAGACTCAGAAGCAAGATGGCCTTTGGATCTGAAGGACCCTCAGAGGGCATCTAGTGCAATCCAAAGACGTGAACAAGAATGCCCTCCACAACAAATATGAAAAGTGGTCAGTGGGCCTCTGCTTGGAGCCCTCCACTGAACCCTGGAACTCACTGCCCCATAAAGAAACTCATTAAACTCTAATTGCTGCAAAGTTTTTCCTTATATCAAGCCTAAATTTGCCTCTTTATAGCATCCTCCTATTGCACCTAAATCTGCTTCAGGGGCCAAGAAGAATAAACCTTTTCCAAGTGGCAGTCCTTCAAACACAGAACTGGGAAGCCCCCCCCCCCCCCCCGCCAAATACCCTGTTAGGCATTCAAAGCTGTTCATTGCGCTGCCCCACTCCCTCCCAGGTTCCTTGCACCTTACTCACCCCATCACACTCTGTGATGCAGTGACACTGGTCTCCTGGCTGCTCCCTACACACGACACACCATCTCTAGCCTTGAAGCATTTTCACAGACTGTCCCCAAGGTCTGAAATTCTCTTTCCTCATCACCACCTCCTGGTTTCTCTGGTTTCCTTCAAGTCCCACCTAAAATCCAAATTTCTCCAGAAGGGTTTTGCTGATTCCCTTTAATGCTAATGCCTGTCCTCTGTTTATCATCTCCAATTTGTCCTCTACGTATCTTGTTTGCACAGATTTATTTGAATTAAGACTGTGAACTCCTTGAGACTGTCTTTTGCCTTTCTTTGTATCCCCGGCACAGAGGAGACCTTAATAAATGTGTGATGACTGAATGACTGCTTTTTACTCACTCACCTAACTGAGGGCTTTGTAGGACTTTTCCCCCTAGCAGCCATGAAGCTTCTCTTTTCTCCAAATGAGAGATCACATCTGGTTTGGAAACTGGAAGACCTGCTCGTGGGGAAAGGGAAAAGGACAGAGGACAGAAAGACATCTCAGAATTTGATCTTAATCTCTTTCTTTAAAAAACAGAGAACATGTCAAAAAGCCCCAAACAGTGTTAATGAATGAACTGTGGAAAAAAATGTTTCATATTGTATTCTCATCACGCATAGGTGATGGCTTGTAGGGTTTGGTCTGGACTCAAGAAAATTAGTTCCTTTTAAAACCCACCATGCTGAGAGGATGAAAACCTTTCACATTTTCAAATAGCTACTTTGAGATTTTATTAAAGATTCTTTGATCAAAATGACCAGACGGTAGCCTCAGCAGCAGCACAATAAAGCTACTAACTTATGGTCATTCAAAGCAAAAACCTTCCATCTGGAAGAAAGCAAAACAAACATTGGGCCTCTTGGTGCTGAAGGATTTAGAAATCTCTTCATATTATTGGTATTCATGAGAATATCCCTGCACACCAAGCCAGAACTCAACCAAGTACTGATTATCTCATAGCCTTTAGGAAGAGCAAATGTAAAATATCCCAATGGACAAGTGACAGCTCCTGGGACAAAAGCTGTCCTTACCAAGGGAGATAAAGTTCTCATAATTCTCTAGCATCACATCTCTGTACATGTTCTTCTGAGCAGGATCCAATTGGCCCCATTCCTCTCGAGTGAAGTCCACAGCCACATCTTGAAAGGTCAAGGATTTCTGAAATTTAGAAAAAAAAATTCCTGTTCACCCAAAGAAATATAAGGATAAAGGGATGATCTGATCTGAATCTCTAATCATAGATTTAGACCTAAAAGGAACCTTAGAGGATATCTTATCTAATCCCTTCATTTCATACATAAGGAAACTGAGGTCCAGTGGGGTTAAGTGACTTGTCTAGGGTCACACAAGTTATAAATGGTGGAGTCAGGATAGGACATCTGTCCTGCACCTTAAAAGATAAGAGGATGTTAATGGGCAAAATAGGAAGAACATTATAAGCAAAGGCATGAAAGCAAAGCAATGAGAGGCATTGACAAGGTGAGTTTGGTCTAGGAGGGGACAGAATGAAAAGCCTAAAACAGAAGGGTGATGCTCACTATACCACAATAAATAGCAAATGTACACATGATCTAAATAAAAAAAGATCATATCATAAAAAAATTTAGAGGATAGAAAGATATAATGGGACAACTATGGCTAAGGGAAGAATGTTTAACTAAAACATGAGATAGAGATCATAAAAGATAAAGTGGATGATTAAGATTACATAACAATGAAAATTTTTTGCATTAACAAAAATCAATGCACCTAGCATTAGAAAAGAAGCAATTAATGAGAGAAAATACTTGCAGCAAATATTTCTTATAAAGGTCTAATAACTAAGATAGATAGGGAATTGACACAAATATGTAAGAACAAGAGCTGTATATCCTCCAAAAGATGAGTGGTCAAGGGATATTCAATGGAAAGAGCACCAGCTCTGGAGTCAGGGACATGAATTCAAAATTCCTCTGATGCTTTCTACCTATCTGACCTTGAGCAACTCATCTTTGTAAACATCAGAAGAGGCATAAAACAAGGAGACATGCTCACCAAAGTTGTTTGCCACTGTGATAGGGGAAACCCAAAGAATATTAAGTTTCCAAAAACAGATGAAATGCAAACTATCAGCAATTATACGAAAAAAGATCTAGATCATTAATGATAAAAGAAATTCAAATTTAAAATTCTTAAGTTTTCGTCTAAAATCCATCAAATTGGCAAAGATGAGAGATGAAAATAGTCAAGATGGGAGGACTCTGTGAAGGCAGTCACACTAAGATGAAACCGTGTACTAGTACAAAACAAAACATTTATGAAAATCATCTTCACACTTAATAAGGTCATCCATGATGAAGGTAGAAGGAAACAGGCAGTCTTTCACACGCACAAAAAAAAATTCTCCAATAGACAACATATGTTTGCAGCCAGACTGAAAAGTGTAGAGAACACAAGATTCCACTGTGCTTATTGTTTGTTGACTTAAAAAAAAAAAAGTATTTGAATTGGTAGATCAAAATGCTGCCTTAGGGGCTCTTGTCCACATTAGGTGTATCCCCTATGATGATGAACTTATTATAGTAGTACAACATCAAGAGTTCCACACAACAGGCAGGCACAAATGGGTTGCAGACTGTATTATCAGAAGGAACATCCAAATTGTTGTGACCACAGAGCCATCTGAAAATTTAAAGGAAGTTTCTCCCATGCACGTTAAATTACAAAAATGTTAAAACTACAAAAAGCTCCTTAAAAGAGGTGATAATAACTTCTTCAATGATCTCCTAATTAATGATATTAATAAAAGTCAGGCATAGAACTTTATCCTCCAGAAGTTCTTGATTTGTAGATGACAATGAGCTAACTGCATCCAGTCTCAGAAAAAGAAGAAATTCCTAAATGAGATCTGCATTCACTCAAAAGAATTCAGCCTAATTATTCAGAAAGGAAAAGCCAAGTGGATAAAGAATATCTAAACAGACTATGATATTTAGTACCAGTTGTACATACATCCTGGACAGGCACTACAGAGGAACGATAAAGTAGTTCCAGAATTGCATACCAGTAGAGTAAACTGGATGTCATTTGGGAAACCTCATAGAATTTGAACAACCACCCCCATTTTTCTTCAACATCAATCCTCTTTCAGTGATACTATGTGGCTGCATTACTGGAATAATGCAATCTCTAAAGAATACAAGTTATGGGGCAGCCAAAGGGCAATAGAAAACAATGTAGTAAAGGCAAGTACACTGATGCACAACAGCAATGAAGAACTGCATGGGAGAAGTGGCAGAAAGAAGACCAGAAAAGAAGGTGGGACAATCATCTGGCAAAATGCAAGGGCCCATGCATGGAGGGGCCAGGTATGGCATCTAAAAGGCAGGGCACCAGAACTGTGAGCAAACCCCCAGCAGAGGACTTAGAGGAGGAAATGGATAAGGGTTCCAAAGGATGAGGAAGAGTCAGCAGGTTCTGATATGCACAGAGGGGTGCAGCACCAAAGCTGCTAAGACTGCCAATCAGTCTCTCCTGGGCACTGAAACACAGAAGAAAGTGTCTCTCACCTTTAGCATAAGAATATTGCTTCACTCTTTTCCGGCATCCGGTTTTGTTTTAGTCTATCTAGATACACAAACATGTTTTTAGAAATACCCTCTAACACTAGAAGTTGCAGAGAAGGGGCCAACATGCATTGGCAGAGGTAGTTCCCTATGCCAATGAAATCTTAAGTCCAGTCATTATCTCAATCCTATTTAAAATTAAATCAAAACAGCTTTTAACTGAAAAAAAGAGAAGGGAAATAAATGCCTACATAACTCCCCTGGGATATCAGAAGGCTAGCAGGCGTAGAAGCATCATGGCTTGCAGTCTGAGGTGTCCTCACCTAAGGAGGCTACCTCTGAGGTAGGGCGTGGTAGCGGGAGTGCAGCAGGTCCCCTGAGCAAGGCAGTGAAGAGCCCCACGGCATCTTCCACCTGTGCACTCCAAGACACCCTCCCCACCTCCTGCCACCAGCCCCATCTCCTCACCAGAACGTGGAGAACATCCTACACAAAGAGCAGAAGCCTCCCCCGTGACCTCAGTCTCCCCTCTCCTGCTGCACTTGTCCTTGGGATAAAGAAGAGTAAAGTTGGCAGGGAAAGAAGCCATTCCATCTCCAGAAGAGCACTTCTGTCTAATCTCCAGCCTTTGGTGGGAAGAAGAGTAATGAAGTGGGTTTTCCACTGGCCTCCAGCCCAATATCTAGTCTCTTATGAGAAAATGAGTGGTGCCCTCCTCTCAACCATTAACATTTTGACCCCTGGTCACAATCTTCACGTCCCAGTGACTCTAAACTCCTGTAGATCATCATCCAAACCCCATTCCCCACCCCCACCCCCATCCCCAACCCAATTCTTCATTCCTATTTCCTTCCCACCCAAAGCTTCATCCTAACTCCACCTAGTCCTGAAATACATGCTCCACAGGTAACAAACTTCCCTTCATGTTAATTTTTTTCCTCTCCCATGCCTCCCATCTACTAGCTCCTACTGAAACCTGGTTTCCCGCTGATGACATGGCCTCCCTGGATACCCTTCCTAGCTCTGGCTGCACCTTCAATCATTCTCCTCAGCTCACTGGTCAAGGCAGAGAGTTGGAGTAGTCCTTGCTCCCCACTGCCACTTCCAGGTTTCCCCCTAGCTCCATGACTCAGTAACTGCTTCTCCTTTGGGGTTCATACAATTCATACCTACCGCATAATCAAAATCCTGGTAGCTATTGTCTATAGATCCTTAAGTCACACCCCTTCCTTTCTTAATCAGTTAGTTCACAACATGGCTCACAATTTTTCTCTCCTTCCTAAACAACTGTCCTCATACTAGAAGGCTTCAACATACATACTTGACTCTCCCTCAAACATCCTAGCCTTTCTGTTCCTCAAACTATTCAATGCCTATGAGTTACTCCTCCACCCCACCTCAGTCACATACAAAGATGGTCATACCCTTTCTCTTGTCATCACCCACAAATATACCACCTCTAAGTTCAAGAATTCTGAAATCCCTTTATCTGACCATAATCTATTGGCTTTCACCTTTTCCTCTGCCATATAAAAAAATTCGACTTTTCATCTGCATCATGACCTCTAATCCCTTGACCCCTCAATTCTCTCCCAAGCCATCTACCCTGCACTAAACACTCTCTGCTATTTTCCCCATCTTGACCCCTTTTCTCTAGCAGCAATGTATGGCTGTGGGAGTTACACTATAAGGAAAGCTGAGCACCAAAGAATTGATGCTTTTGAAGTGTGATGCTGGAGAAGACTTTTGAGAGTCACTTGGACAGCAAGCAAGTTAAATCAATCAATACTTAAAGAAATTAACTCCTCATTGGAAGGTCAAATACTGAAACTGAAGCTTAAATACTATGGCCACATAATGAGAAGATATGACTCACTGGAAAAGATCCTGATGTTGGGAAAGATTGATGATAAAAGGAAAAGGGATCAGCAGAGATTGAGAAGGATAGATAGTATCATGGAAACAAAGAACATGAACCCAAACAGGCTTTGAGAGTTAGTGGAAGATAGAAGGTTCTGGGCATGCTATGGTCCAGACGGTCACAAAGAGTTGGGCACAACTGAATGACTGAATAACAATGAACCAATTCAACTCTATAGTGTCCTCCTCTCTGGAGTCCTTGGCCTTCTCATCATATCATCAACAACACCCGGCCAAGCCACAGCCATGGATCAGTCCCATCCTTTGTCACCTTCACTCCTATACATGTGCTGCTGAATGAAGATGGAAAAAATCACACAACCATTCTGACAGGGTTCACTCCAAAACGCATTACACAACCTCAGCTGGGCCTTCACTTTGCAAGGAAATCCTACTATACCGCCTTCATCTGCTCCAAATCCCACTGTCCAGAGTAGCTCTTCCAAATCTTTTCATCCCTTCTCAAACCTCCCATGGCTCCCCTTTCCCCATTCTCTCAGCTGAGAACCCACCTCATATTTTACCCAAAAATTGAGGCCATTCACTGTGAACTTCCATTTCTCCCCTCTTCTGTATCTCCTTGCTTTCTGTCACTCTCTGCTCCTTCACCTCTATTTCACATGATGAGGTGACCTTACTCCTTACCAAAGCTAACTCCTCTACCTGCTCAAGAGATCCCATTCTGTCCTGTCTCCTCTGACAGACTGCCCCTTCTGTCAATCTCACTCTCTCACCTATTTTCAATCTCTCCTTCTCTATTGGCTCTTTCCCTACTGCCTGCAAACTTGTCCCATGTCTCCCCTATCCTGAAAAAAAAAAACCTCACTTGATCCTTTCATCCTTGCTAACTATTGTCTTATATATCTTCTGCCTTTTGTAGCTAAATTCCTTGAACAGGCCATCTACAATAAGTGCCTCCAGTTCATCTCCTCTCACTCTCTTCTTAACCTCTTACAATCTGGCTTCTGATCTTTTCATTCCACCAAAACTGCTCTCTTCCAAGTTACTAATGACCTCTTAGCTGACAAATCCAATGGCCTTTTTTCAATCCCCATTCTCCTTGACCTCTCTGTGGTCTTTAACACTGTTGATCACTTCTCTCTCTGATACCCTCTTCTCTCTAGGTTTTCAGGATTCCCCTCTCCTGGTCCTCTTCCCATCTATCTGACCACTCCTCAGTCCCCTTTGCTAGATCCTCTTCCAGATCACACCCTCTAACCATAGGTGTCCTTCAGGGTTTTGTTCTGGGCCCTCTTCTATTATCCCTCTATACCACTCTCCCTTTATATCATTCCTCTTGGTGATCTCATTAGCCTTTATCAACTAGGCAGTGGAATGAATAGCACTGGAGCTGGAGTCAAGAAGACCTGTGTTCAAATTCTGCCTCAGACAGTTACAGCTGCGTGACCCTAGACCAGTCATTTAAACCTTCTCAGACTCAGTTCCCTCATCTACAAAGTGAGAGTAATAATAACACCACCTATCTTCCAGGGTTGTTTTAAGGATCAAATAAGATAACATTTGTTATGCACGCTGTACACCTGAAAGCACTCTATAAAATGCTAGGCATGGAGGGAGCCTGGAGTAGCGTTAGGGCACTGGACTTGGGGTCAGCAAAGTCTAAGGTCAAATCCTGCCTCAGATTTACTTGCCATGTGACCCCGGGCCAATCCCCTAAATTCTCTGTGCCTCACTTTCCTCAGCTTTAAATGAGGGAGTTGGACTTGATGGAGTCCAACTTCCCTCTCAGCTCTAAATCTATGATCCATGATTTGGGGAGAAATTTCAAAAGCTGAAAAAAAGGTTAAGTAAGATCCACAAACTAAAATGCTACAGAGAAAGTCAGAGTGGAAAGATGGGAAGCTCTCAAGAATGATATTCTAAGGACACAGAGAAATAATTCCAAGGGAAAAAGGAAAGGGGAAGGTGTATAAAGAGTGATGAAGATGCAGGGAGAACTTAGAAACCAAGCAAGCTAGGACAGATGTTTAACAAGAAAAGAAAATTGAGGGAGGACATGATACCCATCAGTGATGGCTTAGAAAAAAGAGAAAACACAGGAAATGAAGGCATAAGCTTTTAGGACCAGAGGATGAGATGCTGCTGGGCTGAATCATTCACAAGGTCCCCCAAATATAAATAGCTTAGACCTATTTGATTGTACTTTTGAAGAAGCACTGCATTGACAGTCAACAGCATTCAATGACTTAACTTTCCCCAGGAGAACATCCAAGATTGTCAAAATGGCATTCAAGGACTTCTAAAATCTGACCCTGCCCTAATGATCTTTACCACTCCTAACATGAACCTATTACAATTGGGCCAGTCTCTTCATCTGTCCCCAGAGATGTCAGCCACTGGTTCTAAGCCTTGACTCCAGCTGTTCCTTCTCCTCATAATGCCCTCTCTCATCCTCCAATTACCTTACTCATGCTACAATCTCAATCCAAATTCTCTTTCAGGAAGTCTACCCTGATCACTCCTTTCTCTGAATTCATAACATTTCTTTCCTGTACCATTCTGTTTGGCACTTCCTATTAGCTACCTAAAAATCTATCTAACTCCATCTACCTAAAAATCTCTCTATCATTATCTAACTTTTTCATCAATGGCAATACAAATTATAATGATTTCTGGTATGTTTGTCCCACCAGGAATTGTTTTATACTTATTCTCTTTGCAGCATTTTGTTGAGTTTTCAGCATATAATAGTTGAATGAATGAGTGAAAGTTTGACAGAGAGGTCAGATGGAAGATATTTGGCACATGGGGAATGTTTAGCATAGTGGAAAGATAACTGGAACATGTGTGAGGAGACCCAGGTTCTATCAAAGGCTCTGCCACACCTCTCTGGACCTTACTGTAGCAAATCAGAGGGTTGGACTGCATGACTCTAGCAGTCCAGTCTGCATGATCTACAGACTCCAGGAATATCATTCATAAGAAGAGACAATCTTCTTGGAGAAAAGATTGTTCCGCAGGTGCCTGGATGTGACTTAGCTGAGCTTAGAAAATGGTGGGGGGGGAAAGGGAAAGTAATGTGTCTACACCTTGAAAAATGAGATGGCATTTCAAGAGTGAGAGGAAAGCCTCACTCACCTCAGACCTGGCTGTCAGGAACCCAGAAGTCATCCCCTCCTCCTCCTCGGTTCTCCTTTCTTGGGGAAGGGCAGAGTCTTGAGATGCCAGAACTGAGGGAGGAGAAAAGTCATGAGGGAGACTGATCCTGCCTTACAGCTCCAAAACTCACCTGGTGGAATACCTTCACACAAGCTGTATGAGAGTCTCTTGATCCTTACAGAGAGAGGTCACAGTTAACCCAGAAGCAAGCCCATCTTTTTCTGAACTCAGAGGGAAAGGTCTTTCCCAAGATCCTGATTTTATTCCTTTGTGCAGAGCAGGCTCCAAGGGACTGACTTCTGGTAGAGGCATTACAACACACAGTGAATTCACAGTACTTCCTTTTATGTGTCATTTGATGAGAATGAAACTCAAACTCTCTGTGCCTCAGTCACCCCTTAATGTAATGGGGAAAAAAGTTTCCATTCTTCTCCCTTATTTCTAAAATAAATGAAGAATCAGTTTGCTGATTTTTTTAAGACAACCCTTTGACTTGGTAAGAAAGACAAAAATGGCCAATAGAGACTTGAAGCCCAAGATAAGAAGGAAGACAAAATAAAAGCTCATAACTAACTTGATTTCAAGTCACAAAGCACAGAAGAACTCTCTGTCAAGTTACTGAAATAACGTTCAAATGGGTGTGCTAAGCCACTTCATCTCTGAGAAATCTTAGATAATGGGAAAGGTGCCACAGGACTGGAGAAGAGAAAAAATACTGTTTGGATTTTTTTTAAAGAGAGAATGGTATTTGAAAACTCTAGCTTGGATTCCTGGTACAATTCTAGAAAACATTTTTAAAGAGATGGTTTGTGAATATTTAGAAAAGTGATTAGGAAGAGCTAGCATGGCCTCATAACAAATAAGTCATGCCAGACTCAATAGGAATATACCTCAGAATGAAGAACCGCAGGCTAAATGGCAGTACTATTAAATGGAAACTACTTGAATGACCATACCTAAAAATTCATTGCTGAGTCTTAATGTCAACCTAGGAAATCTCAGGAGAGCACTGTGGGGATCAGTCCATAGCCCTGTGCTATTTAATATCTTACTAATGACTTAGATAAAGGTACATATGGCATACTCATGAAAGTTTCACATGACAAAAAGCTGAGGGGGATAGCTGACACAAAGCTGGGAGGGACAGCTAACAGGTGGACAACAGAGTTAAGATCCAAATAACCCCGAGAGGTCAGAATACTGAACTGAATCTAATAAGATGAATACAATTCAAAAAAATTAACTCCACAAGTCCAAGTAGGGAAGATGTGGCAGGAAATCAATTTGCCTGAAAAATACTTGGAGACTCTAGTGGATTACAAGCTGAAGAGGAGTCAACACTGTAACACGGCGGTCAGAAAAGCTAATTCCATCTTAAACTACATCAGAAGCACATTACATAGAACGATGGATGATGGTGATGAGAGGACTGATGTATTGTCTTGGCCAGACCATTTCTGGAGCATTGTCTTCAGTTCTGGGTGACACATTCTAGGACAATGGATAGACAGTCATGAGAGAAGGGCAGCCTGTGTTCTTGCTGCGCTATATGGTGCCATACATGGCCTCTGAGTTCTTTTCAAACTCTGAAACTCTCCAAGGGTGACACGCCTCAAGATCACGCTATACAATTCAAGGAAATGGAGCTTACAGAAGAAAAGACTTACGGGTGATATGAAGGAGGGGAATTAGACATGTTCTGCTTGGCCCCAAGGGCAAAACCTGGGACAATGGATAAAAGCTGCAGAGAAGCAGATTTACAGGTAGATACACAGAAAAATGAACAATGAACAAATGAGCTGCTTCATGAGGTGAGGGGCTCTGCATCACTGGTGATCTTCAATTGGAAGTTGAATCGCCACCCAACAGAGGTGCCTGGAAGGAATTCTTATGCACACAGATTTAACTAGACGACACTTAGGGCTTCTTCCAACTCTGTGAAGCTAAACTCTTCCCCGTGGATAGGAGGTTATGTCAGAGTAACTTCGTTTCATTTCAGAGAGTGAGCAGATTGCTAATCTGGTGGATACTATAGACAATGTATATTTGTATTAGAGCAAAACTTCTGATAAAGTCTCATGACATATTCTTAAAGACAACCTGAAGACTTCCATGCAGTTAGATGTCGGGTAGATTCAGAACCAGTTGAAACACTAGGCTCAAAATGTGTTGCTTGATTAACGGATCATTGTCAAACCTAGTGTGAGAGGTAGCTATTGGCGTTCCCCATTTTTCCCCATTCCATTCAACAACTTTTTCAATGTGTTGGAAAAGTGCATAAATAGCATGTTTATTAAATCTGTGGATGACATGAAGCTGGGAAAGAAAGTGGATGGGAAAGTCACCACCCTAGGCACTCTAAAGCACACAAGTCAAAGAAGAACAACAATTACGAGCAAACAACATGGTGGTTTTAATAGATTTTTAAAGATACATTATGCTATAACAGACAAAAAAAGTTATCACATTCACTTCTGTAATTTTGAAGACTGAGTTTTTTTCTTCCTCCTGGTTTCTTAGTAAAAGTTACTTCAAAAATACAATTTTTTTCTAGAGCGAAGAAAAAGCACGACATCCCCATATTGGGTAGCACTGCCTATTCAATCTAGTGTTGTGGTAGCCAGAAGCCTGGGTCAGCTCAGTGCCCAGAAAACATCAGCAGAACTGGGCCAGATACACCCACGTGTGTGTTTAGTGATGGGAGATAAGAGTCAGGATCAGCAGTACGTACATTCATCTTTCACCTGGACCACTGCCTCATATACCCTCCCAGAAGGTATCTGTTCCCCTCTCCCACTCTCCCACAGTGGCAGGTGCCCCTCCCTTCTCCCTCCCCCCAAATTCCTGCACTTCTCACCTCTCTCCTCAAGCATGAGGTCCAAGTTCTCCATAGTTACCCCCTCCTCTTTGCTCCTTTCCTGGATGGTCTTTCTGCCTTTTTTCAAGTCTTGGCTCCCCAGCCACTAGGGAAGAATTAATCTAGCTCCAACAGCAGCAGCTTCTCATTAGAATCTGCAATGAAGCTAAGGCAAAAAGTCACAGGGCAAGTATGTTTTCTCCTACGATGGTTTCTTGCTCCTCAACATTGTCTTCTAACACCTTCACCTCTCTGAAGAGTTGGCACTCTGATATGCCTGTAGATTTTACCAGAGGCCAGTGAAGCCACAGATAAGACCTAGACACCAGGGAGGAGCCCAGCACCCTCAGTCACCCATTCCAACCCAGGGCCCTACACAGATGACCAAAATACCTGGGACTAACAAATAGGCACATGAATTTATTTCAATAAATTTTATTCAATAAATATGTAATGTAATAGGATTCAGGCCCTGGGATGGGCACAAGAGTTTGTGACCTAGGGCCAGGGTTAGCAAACAACTAACTCCTTCAGTCAGTCATCAATACATACACACACACACACACTTCCAACATGTCAACGATTTTATTGTTTGCTGGTATCCCATCCCCTGATGCAGACCCCCACCTCTTTGTAACCTGATAGAAGGGATTAAGTTCAGAGAGGCTCATCCCCAGTTTAGACATCAAGTGATCCAGGTTTAAAATTAATGCTTGTTGATTGACTGATGAACAAACATAAACAAACACAAACACCTTGATTAGTGTGAATAATGGAATGACTGTCCTGAAGTGATCACATTATTCACATCTGCCCTGCATATTTCCATATGTGATATTCCTTAATCACACTACCTGGGACCTGACTGTCTACACACAGCCACCCAGATGTCTGCAAAGCCCTTTGCACGTTCTGACCTCTTACACAGACAACCTCTTATATTTCAATAGTGCTTTGTGGTTTACCAAATATTCACAACCTTGCATGGTGTGTATTGTATCATTCTCTATCTTTTACCAGAGAAGTTACTTGGAGATCAGGAAACGTTGACTCAGAGAGAAGTGCAGGGGTTTCTGTCACAGGAAAAACTGGAATCAGTGGGGAATGGCTGACAAGCTAAGGCATATGAATGAAATGAGATGTTATTTCACTATAAGAAAGGACAAACGCAAAGAACTCAGGGAAATTTGAGAAGACTCATATGAACTGATGCAGAATAAGGAGAACAGTTGGCACACTGACTGAAATAACATAATGGGAAACAACACTGAAAGATGTCAGAATTCTGGTCAGTGGATCAAAGCTATGTTCAATCATGACTGCAGAGAGGTAAAGGACTGATATCAGAATGAGACACATGGTGGTGAACATGGCTAAGAGGGGAATTTATTTTGCTTGACTGCACTTACTGGTTACAAAGGGTTTTCTTTCCCCAAAAAGGTAGGTCATAAGAAGGAGAAGAAATTAATGTTTGACCATTAAAAAATGAAATCTAAGTTGGCCAGGAAAATTTTATTAATCTTAATAAACATTATAATCTTAATATTATAATTATTTATATATAATTATTTTATTATATATTTTAATATACCTCCACTCCCTCACCTCCTCTGACTCTAACTTCTACTCCACCACCTCTTCTGTCCCTCCACTAGATACCTCTACTCCTGCACCTCCTCTGTTTCTCCACCAGATAGCTCCACTCCCTCACCTCCTAAATTTCTCCCATCTCACTCCCATTAAATGAGGTCACCTGGTCTGTGACAAGACCACTACCTCTGATGTTTTGTACACCTGGGTGACCTTCACCTCTTGGAATCCCCGATTTCATAGACTTAGCTCAAGGACCACCTTAAACATACAGCCTTTCCTGATCTCTCCTCCAACACCCAAGGTATTCATTTTGTATGTACTTGCATATGTTCATGTTGTCTCCCCCATTAGAATGCAAACTCCTTGAGGCCAAAGATTTTCACTTTTGTCTTTGTGTTTAGCACAGTACCATGAGCACAGCAAGCACTTAACAAATGTTTGTTGACTTCAGGCAAGTCACAACCTTTCTGCCATCTTATCAGTTTCCTCACATATAAAATGGGAGGGGTGGACTAGATGGCTTTGGAGCTTCCTTGCAGCTCTATGCTGAAGAGCGTATAATCCAAAATTCTCCTTATCCTGTTTTACCTCCTAAAGTGATGATTTGTGTACATGATGTACTCTCCACTCTCTCTGCCCACTTTCTTCTTCCTAAACACAGATATCTAGCATTTGCCTGGTATGCACCTATGAAAAGATATGTGATCTCCCCTGCATGTAAGGTCCTTCAGGGCAGGGGCTATTTTGTTTTTGTCTTTGCATTCCCAGCACTTAGCATGGTGCCTGGCACACAGTAAGGACTTAATGCATGCTTGTTGATGGACTATTCCAGTACCTTGTACATAGATCCCCAAACCTCCCACTCCACCAAGTGATATCCTAGATCTAGGCTCACCCATTAGTTGGACCCTGACCTACCTCTTACCCTGCTAATGTCTCTGTCAAATACCTGGACCTCCCTCAGAGGCAGCTAGGTGGTCAGAGCCCTGGACTTGGAGTCAAGAAGACCTGAGCTTGAATCCTGCTTAGACACTTCTCTAGCTCAATGACCCTGGACAAGTCACTTAATTTCTCTAAGGCCTGAATTTCCTAGCCTGTAAAATGAGGGGCTTGGGCTCAATGACGTCTAAAATCCCTTTTAGCTCTCCATCTACCATCCAGGATCCCCCCTCGCTCTCCATCTACCATCCCAGGGCCCCCCTCGCTCTCCATCTAACATCCAGGGACCCCCCCCTTGCTCTCCATCTATCACCCCGGGGGCCCCCCTCGCTCTCCCTCTACCATCCCGGGGGCCCCCCCTCGCTCTCCCTCTACCATCTCAGGGGCCCCCCTCGCTCTCCCTCTACCATACAGGGGGGCCCCCCTCGCTCTCCCTCTACCATCCAGGGGCCCCTCAACAGCTGCAGGCTGGATCTGAAGTGAGCCCAACAGCGGCTCCCCTTTGCCTTCTATTTGGAACAAGGCTGTTCTTCCCTAAGAGGCCGGCCCATGCTCTAGAACAAGGGAGCTAGCTCCTGGGCCTCGCCTCGGGATCTGAGTTTGGCTGAGAACTGACCCGGAGATCATCTGGTCTGACGGATGAGGCAACCGAACCCCACCACGTCACATGCCTGACTCCAGGTCTCGCTCCTGCCGCCATATCCGGGCTCTTCCCACCGCAGGGCCCTGGATCCTTGGCTCCGCCGGGGGTGGGGACCCCCCACTATGCCGCCCCCACACCCCTCTACACCTACAAGCTCCCAAGAGCCCAGGCCCCCCGCTCACACTCACGCCCTCACTCACCAGCCGCCCGAGGAAAGCACAACCCAACTGGAAGTGCGCCTGCGCAGGCGGACTCCGGCAGGCTAGGAAGGCTAGAGCCAGGCCAAAGTGGAACGTTGGCGCGCCTGCCGCACTGTTGGACTCATTCAGACAGAACCTGGTCCAGGGCCGGAAGCGCGGCCCGCGCGTTTCTGGGAAATGTAGTCCGGGTCTGCTTCTGCGCCGGCGCGTTGCGCGACTCCTGTTGGGGCTCGGACTCCTGTGCAGCGTCCGGGCCTGAGATCCTGCGCCGCCACAAAACACCTGTTCTCCGGGAAGACTCAGCAGTCCTCCTTGCAAAAACCCCGAGGACTGTCCACCAACTGGGGCAGACCCAACCTCCCGGAAAACTAGGTTTTCTGCCCCTCCTTGGGCGGGTGAATAGTCACCGACCCTTAATGAAGCGCTTCCTCGCGCGCCGGGCACTCTGCAAAGCGTGGCTTCGCAGACGGGAGCTTGGGCTCTGTGGGGCCCAGCCGGGGCTTGTCAGGGCTTCACGAGTGTCCGAAGTGGCTGCGTGGGCAGGCTTAGGATCTCTTCCGAGCTTCACTGCGTGCACGTTAGATAAGCGGTGGCCGTTGCCTCCCCTGGACCCAGAAGGATGTACAGTCCATAGTGGAGCGCCCACCCTTGATGCTCTGCTGTGAGACCAGGAGCAGATCATTTCCAGTGCCGCCTGGGGCTAAGTTTACCCCGCTGTAAAATGAGAGGGGTCGGACTGAATCCTTTCCAACTTCAAATCTATGATCCTATGAATAAACATATATAAGGCACCTACTGAATGCAGAGCACTCTTCTAGACACTATGGTAGAAAGCGTGAATGAAAATTAATCCCTGCCCTCATGAACTTGCAATCGATAAAGGAATATTATACATACACAAAAATACATTATAAGTGCATTAGAAGGCAGAAGAAATTATGGGAGGTCTGAGGGGGAAGGTGTCATTAATAATTGGAAGAATCAAAGAAGGTTTAAAGGCCCTCCTAAGTCTCTCACCACTCCAATCCATCTTCCACATACCTGCTCAAAATGATTGTTCTAAAACAAGACCTGACTACCTTGATCTCTTACTCAAACTCCACTGGCTCCAGGCCCCACATTTCTACCCTTGTTATACATCACTCCCCTCCGCAGTTCAACCAGACTGACCTTTTTGCTGTTCCTCACACTCTGTATTCCCTCTGCATCTCTGTTCATTTACACTGGCTGTATTCTGCGCCTGGAATGTATTCCCTTCTGCCCTCTACTTCTTAGAATCTCTTGTTTCATTCAAAATTCAACTTAAGCTCCACCTTCTAGTGAAGTCACTTCTGATCCCCCTTTCCTCCACTTACCCAGCACTGTTAATGACCTCCCCTCCAAAATTACTTTGTATTTTGTACTTATTTTATATTAATACAGAAGGTATCCCCAAAGTCTTAGGATGAACGTGTTCCAAAAAATCTTAGTAATAGCTTAGAACCATACTAAGACTTTGTAACACCCTGTACAAACATGTCTACTACTGATACCCAGTAGGAGCTAAATAAGGAATTGCTGATTTGATTTATCAATTTAATACCAGTCAGTAGATTAATGAAAGAAATAGCATTTAAGCTGGAATGTTAAAGGATGGACATGAATCCCATAGGCAAAGAAGGACATACTAGACAAATCAAGAACAGGGTAAGCAAAAGCACAGAGCTGGGAAAGCTCAAGGCATGTTCTAGGAGACAATTCGGCTAGAACATGAAGTATATGGAAGAAGTAGTGTGAAATAAACCTGGAAGTATAAATTGGGGCTAGATTGTTGAGAGCCCTGTATATCAGTCAAAGAAGTCTGGAATATATTCAGTAGGCATTAGGAAGCCATGGAAGATTTTTCAGCAGAAAAAAAATGACATAAGAAATATGAATATGGCAGATATTAGAAAGGATGGTCTGGAGGGGAGAGATACTGGAGTGGGCAGACCTGTGGAGTGGGCAGCCATTACAATAGCTCCACAGGAGAATAATGAGTGACCTATACTCCAGGGAGTAGCAGTGGAAATTGACAGGAGGGGACAGATATGAGAAGCGTTTACAGAACTGAAATCAATGAGACTTGGATCAATTGGACATTTGGGGATAGTGCATAGAAGAGTCAAATGTAACATCAAGATCTGAAAATGGGTAAATGGTTTAATCGTAGTGGTTGTTAATTGTTTGGTAGGTCCAACTCTTCATGGCTCTATTTGGGGTTTTCTTGGCAAAAACACTGGAGTGGTTTGCCATTTCCTTCTCCATTTCATCTTACAGATGAGGAAAGTGAGGCAAATGGGATTAAGTGACTTGCCCAGAGTCAGACTGCTAGTCACAGCTATCTAAGGCCACATTTGAACTCAGAAAAGTCTTCCTGACTCCAGGCCCAGCACTCTATGCACTATGGCTCCACCTAGCTGCCCCAATAGTAGTGATTCAACTGATGAAAATAGAGAAGTAGAAAAAGCAGCTTTGGTTCTGTTTGGGACATGTTGACTTAGATGTGTCAGAGGGTCATCCAAGGAAACGTATCTTGTAGTCAGTAGGAAATGTGGGTCTGGAGCTCAAAAGAGAATTCCAGACTGGTGAGAGAGATCTAGAAGTTATTGACATGGAGTAAGAGTTGACCCAATCGGGGTGATTCAGCCAGTTAAATGTTGAAAGGGAAGATCCAGGACAAACGCTTGGGGAGACCTACCTTGAACATCCAGAAACGGAAAAAGAACCTGCAAGATCAGAGGATTAAGAGAGGTAGGAGAGGAATCAGCCGAGGGGACAGGAATAAGCATTTATTAAGCACCTACTATATGCCAGGAACTCTGCTAATCGCTTTACAAATATCGCATTTGTAGAATGCAATAGAAGTCAAAAGTAGAGACAATGTTTAGGAGGTGGTGTTTAACAGTATTAAATACTATACTGAGTTTATTCATCTTAGCCTTTTGTTTTCATGACAGTCATCTCCTGATATTAACTCAGCCCCATTGAACTCTCCCTGATGACAGAAAAATAATGTAGGAAAACCAGCTAACACAGCAACTAGATATAACAACTTATGCAGCATTCTGTAGCAGGAGTCCCCCATCTCTCTACCGAGAGGA